CCCTGCCTTCAGTCCTTGGAAGCCCTCGAAGTTGTGCTGCTTCCAGTTCATGCCCATCTCGAGGCGGCGCAGCTTGTGCCGGTCTCATTACGGGGTAGGAGAGAACGAAGAGGATTTGTTTCATCCAGTGGAAACTCCGATCGATAGGCACCGATGTAAGTGGTGCACGCGTCACAAAGCCCAGGTACTTGGACTGTCGCCATCGAAGTAGGGGGGGTGGCGGCGAGGGTGATGCGGTGATGCCATGACATGGTAGGAGCAGGCGTGTGAGGTGGGGGCGAGGGTGGTGTTCGGAGGGCAGTTTGTCGAGGTCGGGGATCTCGTCTTCAGGCGGTGGGAGGGCGAGGTAGGGGTTGGAGGGCCGGGTGGTTTGATGCGCCAGATCGGGCGACGATGGTACGATGGGGGGAGGGGACGGACTCCCAGACGACGATGGGAATCGGTACGAAATGGTGGAATCGTGTGCTGTACAAGCACTCGAGGGAGGGTCTTTTGCTAGCAAAAAGATCCCGGGCCTAGCTCTTCACGTGCCCGATGATCCCGAGGTGCGTTTTCCCGAAGGTCTCCGCAGCACTCCTTGTAGCTACCGTAAGGCTTGGGTCGGGCTCAACGTTACCCGTGGCCTGGTGCTGTTTGCTTGATACGAACCCTTCACTGCAATAGTGGAGGACAACTAGATGATTCGGTAAAAGGGTGAGTGGGGTGATAAGGGTTAAGAGGATATAGCGGGCGTAGCGGTGCAAGATGCAGGTAAGAGGTAGGAGGTAGGAGGGTATGAGGGGAGTCTTCGAATTATGTGACAATCAACCAAATAATAGTCGAAAAGAGAAGTGAATTCGAGAGACTGGAGGAATACAACCAATAGCTACAGTATTTATACCCAAATCCAGTCTGAGTCATATCTACAACTAATGAGTCATAGGGCTATGTACCGCATGGAGCACTGGTCATGGGTTGTAGTAGAACCTTCGGAGGCATATGTCGCGCAGCCTTGAATCGATAGAGATAACCCTGGAACCCCTAGCCCGGATCGTCTGATGCCGTGATCCGTGATAAGATGAGATCGTTGAAGATAAGATGAAAAAGTGGCCGAACTATGACACAAAGATAGCTGCAAAGGTGGCAAAGACGACTGAGTGTGGTCGGGGTTGTGGCCATGGCCATGGCCAAGGTCGGGGTGTGAGAGCAGTAACAGCCAAGGTCAGTTGTTATGGAGAGGGGAAGAGAGGAACCAGTCACTCAAAGTTGAAGGGAATCAGTGGGAGGATGACAAAGACACCAGTACGAGTGGTGATAGCAACAATGAAAGTGTGGACTCTCATGACTCCACACACAACTCCTCACATGACTCAGATATATCTGAAGGTAGTGGCATCATTTTGAGCGCTGCTGGACCCCCACTGACATCAGCAGGGATGAAGGTGACAGTAACTTGTCTGAGGACAAATTCAACAACAAAAGCTTGGAAGAGATTGGAATTGTAGGTATAAATGGATACTGGTGGCGCCAGAGAAAACATCATCACTTCATGGTCCTGTAGACTGACAAAGCCACAACTTGGGAACTGCTAAGGGTGTATTTCTGTGCTTTTACAGAGTTTACTCTTGAACCACTCAGTGTATCATGTTGTGGGTGCCAGTGTTGTGCTCAGTAGGACTTAAGGGTCTGCTGCCCAGTCAATGACTGTGGATAGTGTCAACAATGGCAAGGCAGTCAGACTACTACTGTGGAATTGGTCTTATAAGTCTATACCAGACTCAGGGCTAGTAGTGACGGACACTCGATAGGGGTAGTAAATGTCTGCCAGTAGATTAATTCAATTGACTTACTTGCAGCTTGCAGACTTAAAGCAGCATGGTATGTACAGAGTTTCAGAGTGAAAGGATTAGCAGCATTATAGCAGCATGATTGATGTGACATATCACACCAGATTGGTAGCAGCTTTATGTCAGCACGGTAGTGTCACACCTCGATCTCATTGACTTAGTCATGCTTTGGGCGTGCTGTGTCTGTATTCAAATTGCTAATCCCGCCGCTCTAGTCTATCATTGAGGAAAATCAAACTACACAAGTCCTTAAGGTATTAGGGGTCCTGACTTGACCTAGAACCCGGCAGGAATATTGGATGAGGGTTGAACAGTCCAGCAAGGGAAACTATTTCTCTGAGGGAGCAGCCTCTTGATCCCCTCCTACACTGGAGCTTTTACTCTGTGTGTCATCCATGGTTTGGGCAGCCTTGACTTTTTTCACGGCCCATCCTTCGTAGCCGAACCACGTGAAGCGACCACAATGTGGCCCGCGCACAAGCAGGACAATCAGAATCCAGCCGTAGAAGCCCATATTGAGAGCCGCGGCTGCCCGCCAGCCGTATGCCGTGTACACCTTGGTCCTGCGGCCGTGCCCATCAATGGCCAATGAACAGCTTGATGAGAATTCAATCACAAGAACGGATCTCTGATGGCATTGAAAATCCACACACCGACAGCACGAATAGGGCGTTCAACCTGCTCTCGCAGCTGTCGAAATTCTGATGCAATCACGTTGGATCATGGGTAAATGATTTCCAGTGAGAGATGACGCACTCGAATACGGCTGCCGCCAAGGACATCTGCAGCGACTGACGGAACATGTCGAGACCAATTATAGCAATGACGACCACCGCCACACTCATCGTCCCCGCAGCAGTCTGGATCGCCTGAAACGATAGCAGGAACAGAATCGAGCACATGGACGCGTACAGGGCATCAGCCCGTCGATCAGCTTGCCAAACAGCGGCCCGCAGACGACACTAAGGATCCCGATCAAACCAAAGAGCCCGATCGTTAGCGTCGAATAGAAGTACGGCGCGCCGCCGAGAAGAAAGGTGAGTGTGACCCAGAAGTTGGTGAAGCATGCGCATGAGGCGAGATTGACGAGCAGGCCTGGACTAGGATCGGTTCGGTGACGGCGAATCGAGCCATCGAGGAGAGGATTTTGAAATACGTCAGGTCCGTATTTTTGGCTGGGTAGTCTGGGATGATGAGGTACCCTGCGAGGAGAACGAAGACTTGGACGCCGATGGCGAGGTAGTACCTGATGTAGGATCAGCACAGCCGTATAATCTTCTCAAGAGCAACCCACACCACCCGCCACGATGTGAATTGGCCGATGATCCCAGCAATGACTCGGGCCACGAGGACACCGAGAAGTAAGCCGGAATAACGATGGACAGCGCCGATCCTCGGCGTTCTGGCGGGGCTAGATCGGCTGCGAGAGGCTTGACTGAATTAGCAACGTGAAACTCAGCTGAAAGAACGCAGCGTACGTACGATCATGATCTGCGGTGTGAGCGATACCATGCCGATGGAAAGGACAACGCCTCGAACACGACGATGTTCTTAGTAACGGCCACCCCCACGGTCAGACTGGCAGAAACGAGAGTGAGAGTCAGGATGAGCTGACGTCGGCGAACGAGATCGCCCAGCGGGGAAATGAACAAGATTCTGTTGCATATCTGGACAAATCCTTCAGCCGTGAAACTCGAGGGTGATGGCGGTGACTCGCCCTGCCTGCAGCAGCGTCGGTATCTGAGAAACGCGATCGTAATCCACCCCAAACGAGGAGAGAACTGGACTACGCGACGTTAGAGCATGTAAGCCGACTTTTTTTTTGACCCGAAAACTCACTCAGTAGCGGCTGAGGACAAACCAACTCAGCGCGGCGCGTCAGAGGAACGTAGGCAGACATACTTGACAGTAATACAAATTGGCCACTATGAAGGTCGCGGCGAATCCGAATAGGACATTCAGCACCATGGTAAACACGAATGGTCGCGCCGGGTCATAACGCAGGCGCCGTGGGATGGGGAGTATACCGCAGTCGAAACTGGGACCCACAGCAGAGGGAGACGACAGAGAGGTAGGACGGAGAGGAAGCAGGACCGTGTCCTATTTTAATCGTCCAGTCCTGGGTTTGGCGAGTGACGCCAGTCAAAAAACCTGATATATGGTCACAGTCACCGGCGCGAATCTGACAGTCCCGGTGGCTATGCGAATAGCCGCAATTTGAATATATAGTATATGAAGAAGTTCAGAACATGAAGAAGTTCCGTAGTCTTGTGGAAGGCTCGCCAATCCGATGGACTCTGTATCGATTCGCTTCCCGCGCAGAAAAATTGCGCCATTGAGTTGGTTAACAACACACGTTGGAGCCCCCAGGTCCGCGCAAAACGCCTGTCATGCATGCTTGGATGCATCCTACTGGTCCATCTCCAACTCTGGGCCTGATTGACGAGAAGGCCTCGGGCTGCTTCTTTCTTCTCCGCGCTCGAGGGTTTTGATCCGGTATGCCCTGCCGGTACATTTTCAAGTTTGTCTACGATTGTGGGAACATGGCGCAATATTTGGGGATCCAGATCTCGGTGTTGACGAAGAGATGTTTAGACGTCTGTTGTTTTTATTTCTTTTTGCGATGGAGGCCGATAATCTATTGAAGGCCTTGAAGACGATTGAGTAGGAATGAGTCTGTAGTTTTCCCACAGGTGATGGATGCGTGTCCCTCACTTTTGAATTTTCCTGTGCCATGCCATATAAATGGTGAAGTATTTTTCAAAAGCTGGGATACTGAAGCCGAATACCTAGCCGTCTCCGAGAGATGTCTTGGATGCATCCACGGCCTGGCTTGAACGACTGGTACTGACTTGACATATCCGGCCGATCCATGTCGGCTCGAACTCCTGACCGCGACCGGTAAACCAGTCTACAGTAGATGATACTGGACTCGAATCGTTTGTCACAGCGAACGCTTAGAAGACAGGGGCTTACAAAGTGCTTCCGTGTGAAATTGCCTTCCGAGGAGGTAGAGCTGATCTGACAGCTTCGCATGGTACGTGTGTCGATCCGCGGCCCTTGAGCTCTTGCTTCTTCCCGGTTCAATGTAAGAGCCTGGTGCGAGGACAATGTCGAAGTGGAGTCGCCAATGCCAATCGGGAGATTTCTAGGACTTGCATTTCGCATTCTTGGCCATCTGGAGACTCATCTGGCGCATCATCGGTACGCGATGTTTTCATGCGCTGTCAGCTTGAGACGTCGAAACCGGCTCCAGCGCTGATGCAGGAAGTGAAGAAACGTGTGTGAAGCCTGCGGAGCGTTTGTGGGACATGGCCACAGCCCGGCTCCGTTTCCAAGTTCCTCATCCAGCGCGATTACGACTCAGCCACCTCCGAATCTCGTCATCGCTGCGCCGCAGTCTATTAACGGGTGCTCGATCCCGCGAACTTTGTCGCATGAGACACTGCCCGCAATTCAAACCATCTGGTTCGGAGTCTTGTGACAGGAGAAAATTATGGGACAGCAACGGCGGAGGTAGAGTGGTTTGAGTGCTCCCGGACTTCGTGTCGGTGCTCTGTAGAAGCTCCGTGACTACTGTCACTTCCTTGAGAAGGCGATAGGTGGGAGCCTTCTAGCCGCGGTTCGAGCGAAGCCGAGACCAGTGTTTGGTAACTAACAAAGGGAGTGCGTCGTGTAAACTTTCATGCCTCTAAAAATAGAACTCGGGGCCGACATTGGGATAGCGCAGTGCCCAAGATTTTTGTTTTGTTTGAAAATTTAAGCAGGATTTCAAGAGGGTTCTGAGAAATAGATATGCACGCAAGCCGTTCAAACCCGTTCCAATATGGCGATGATGCAATCCCGATGCTTGGATAATCTCAGAGCAGCCACCACCACGGATAGCGTTCGTATTGAAGACGTGCCCGCGTCGACCAGTCATCTGAAAACTCTGACATGGAGGTAGGTGGCGAGATGCAAGCTCAAATGAGGCCGACACGCGCTGATGTGCTGTATCATAGCTTTCTTCTCGCCCGATCTGCGCCAGGTAAAGACTCCCAACACTCCTCGAGAAGACGTGGTTCGGCGCTTCGAGTATAACATGGGTACCGAGGCGATCCTAGAGCCTCTGCTGGCCCATGAATTCTTCTGGGGCTCCGGAATCTCGCACTCGTATCTATGCAGAATATGGATCTTTCGGCTGGCTTTCAGCCCATTTATTCCACTGATCGGTCTGACAGTCTTGATTTATTCTATGCGCGGGTTCGCGCGATTATGTCTCCAGTCTGAGTCGTTTCTTGGATGGGTTTCTATCATGAGTGAAGAGTCTTTGCCGTCACGATCGGCGTTCTCTTAGTGCAACAATGTCACCCACGCGGACTGTGCCATAACAGTCATGAGGAGCTGCTGTGCGTGACGCGGCTCCTTCAAGCAGTGGGCTTTTCGTTCGTCTTGTCAGTTGTTTTGCTTACTTCATGCTACGCGAGCACCGACATTGTTTGCGGATGTGGGACGGTATTTATGACTCCGGTGGCAGAATATTGCCATTTGCGGCTATCGGCTACCGGGCTTCTGTATGACGCAATTTAGCCGATGCCAGTCTTAGGCCTAGGGAGGCCCTCGGACACTTAGGGTGAACATCCTGCCAAATAGAGTAAATCTGAGCAAAATCTTTGACTTTTCCCCTCCGCATAATAGAGTAAAAATGAGCATTTGGGGTCCATAACCCTCTCTAAATAGGGTAAAAGTCGCGCGTAGTGCGACTGATTTTGGACATTTACCCCCCAGCTGCGGTCAAAAGTTGCTCAACTCTGGAGATTACGGGCAATGCCAAGGAGCTTTCAGAGACTCCTCGAGGGCAGGGGAAAGCACGTAAATAGACCCAGATCATAGCCGTAGTCGGTAATGGCCCAGGCGGAAAAATGGATTTACCCTCCGAAAATAGAGTAAAAGTTGGCCAAAACCCAGAAAAGTTTAGAGTAAAAGTATCCGAACCGGTGGAGGATGTTCATATCAAGTGTCCGAGGGCCTGCCTAGGGTCTTCGAGAGACCGGAGAGACCGCACGGCGCGTGGATTCTTTTAGGGAGGTTGAATTCTTCGAGGTTCCAATCGACGTCCACCCTTCTTCGAAGCGTATCCATGATGTGACCACCGGTCTCACTGGGACGGGAGTGATACATTCAAGTCCAAAATTAGCTGTCACACAACCGAATCCCGGATCTTCATACGCGACCATGAAACACGGAGCAAAGTCACGTGTTTTCGCGAGTAAGTGCTTATGCCTGACAAATGCGAAGTTCGCAAACCATGGTCAGCAAGAAAATGAGCGTAACCTTCAACGGAGTCGCAACATCGAAGGTGATGGCGGAACAGGTCGGATGACAAGTCCACCAGCGGCCCTCCACCATGTTTCTCCCTCCGCGGTATTTTCGTCTTCGGCGGTCTCGAACGCCCTCGGGCCTCAACTGCACGATGGGCGTCGCATCGGATAATTAGTAATTGTTTTCTAATTCTCACAGATTCTTGTCCTTGGAACCCGATTCAACTTGTGCTTCCGTTTCGCAGCCGACGGACAGAATCCCGTAGCCTGACATCACCGTATTCACGTTCGATATCCACTCCTTGCAAAGCACGCTGGAGCTGCGAAGGATCGATCCGCTAGCATATACACTGTATGCGAGGATGAGGTGGTTTGTCGGGTTACCATGCGGTGTTCTGTGATTTCTCAGGAATTCTCGGTGACGCTGACGGGCGGAAGGCAGAAAGATGCGGGGCTCAAATCGGTGACGCGAAAGCACTATGAATCATGATGTGGTAGACGAGAGGACTGTTCGTCAGAAATGAGCCAGGTCACACAGCCGCTGGTCGGCATCTATCATCATCACCTCACAGGGAGTCAATTACCGAGGACCCAATCTCCGTGAACTGCCGGGAAAAGCTTTTTGACAATTCAGAGACGCGCAACATATTCGACTGATTCTTGCAGATGGAGGTAACAGATTCAGGGAGGTCATGATGTTGATCTTGCTCCGTTCTTTCAGATCGCTTCTGGGTCTCGATCACTTGCATATGGTGCATGGAGACGTTCCCGTCTGCTCGCTTCTTTGCTCTCATAACGCGTGCAGAAGAATGTGATGTTTTTTTGGTGCTTAACAGACGCGGCGCTCGCGAAGATCGCTTAAAACTATGGGTCTGTAAGTGGGCTCGATAGACCAAAAAGTCCCCTCCTCTCATTACTCGCTAAGCGCTTCCACACGAAATGCAGCTCATCACTGGCCCTGTGGTTCCTCCCACCCACTCTCCACGTACCGAACTCGATGCCAGTGTGACTTCCGTCTACCCCATGACCAGGGCTCAAGAGGGGATCTGGATGGCTTACTCTGCTCAGCCACAGCACACCCTGTACAATTTGACAATGAAATTCACATTGGCATCCTCGGACACCTACTCGATGGAGAAAGTTCTAGCGGGTGAGGACATCGGCGATCTCAGCCTCGGACTGTGCACTCACTGGACATCACAGGCATCCAGACCCTCACCGCGCGTCACGGAATACTGCGGTCCACCTTCCACGGCAACAAGTCGGTGCTGTCCCGCCCATTCGTCGCGGAGTGGGACGCCCAGTCCGCGCTGCCGTCGGTCCGAATCGTCGCGGAGCCGAAGACGGCCATCGCCAAAATGCATTTGCAAAAGCTGCTCCACCAGGCTGTGCCGCTGTCGGAAGAGTTTGCTGTGCGCTGGCTCGTCGTCGAGCTCCAAGGCGCCATCGAGGTATATGTGATTGCGCATCACATTGCCCTGGACGGAACGAGCAT